GAAGAGACTGTATGAAGTGCCTGGTGTGTGTAGGTGCAGATGGGTCACTGTCCTCAACCCTTTTGAATTGATTTGCATTGACCAGAGAATCATGTGGATTGAGAAGACCATGCATTTATAATCCTGTTCTTCATATGCCCAACCTATCTTCATTATGTGTGAAGCATGTGACAAGCTATAGTGAATCTAAATAGCTATAGGGTGATGATTTGGGTGATTGGAGCTGCTTGGAAGATTCTCCAAATGGCATTGTGGCATCTAGATGCTTCTCCCTTGTGCTGGGTTATTATTTTTTCATCCATGCACATGAGATTCAATCATGCTTTCCTGATCCTCACTTATGTTGCCTATGAAAGTATTACTCGAGGAGAGTCATATCCAATTGATGGAATAAAACAAAAAAAATTTAATTCTCCCACTTTCCTGTCTTTGGTGGCACTTATTTCATATTTTCTTATTCATATTTTACTTACTTCTTGGTACATGTAAAGCAGTGATGAGCAACCTGCAGGTCACATGTGGCCTGCAAGGTCCTGATGTGTGGCCTGCAGGGCTTCGCCAACTGAATTTTTTTCCCTGCCATCTGCCATCCAGAGCAGAGCGCATGTATGCTCAATCATTCTGTTATGCACTGCAGGAGAAACTGAAGCAAGATATGAAACATGAAAGTGATATTTCCGCCACAGCTACAAATATCCCCTTACTTCCTTCTTGGTCAGTGTATCACTGCTCTCTGAGTAAGCAGCTTGCTTTGTATTTTGCTCAGGAAGAAGGTGAGAAGAAATTCTAAATTAATTCTTTGTATACCATTAGCATCTATTTTAGTACCTGGTTTACTAAGCCAGGCTTAGGATTATTTTGATACTCAGCAGGCATAAAGCCTGTAATTCAGAAAAAAAAAACCACATGTGGCTCACCAGGAACTTAAAAGGTTTACTTGCAGCCCACAGAAAAAAATAAGTTGCTCATCACTGATGTAAAGTATCATTCATACTTTTAAATGTTTATAAAGTGTGTTTCAACTATGATGAAGAGGACATGCAGCCATGTTTCTGTATGCTGGGGATGGGTATGAATCCTCAATCCTCAACCCTCAAATAATAATAATAATAATAATAATGCATGTAGCACATAATAATAATGGTTTATTGAAGATCAGGACTGTTAGTGCATAAGCAAATTGGTATCCATCATCATTTTGAGGGTGAAATTACAAAATCATTGTGTCAAAGATATATGAAGTGAAATGGAGGAGTTGGGTTAGGTGGATGATGTGTTCTTGAGGCGAGTCATATAGGGGACTGCTGATTTGTAGAAGCGTTGGGTTCTGCACTTGAATTCCAGCAAGAGATGAGAAATATTATGTCACATGGTCATTGAGGGCACCTGCTGGAGGGTAGGTACCCTCAATAAGGGCAGGTGCCCTCAATGACCATGGGACCTGTTGATGAGATGGGTTGGCTAGAAGGGCTTGGGCATATTTTAATGTGAGCTTTCGTCTGTCTACCAGAGATGGCAGCTGTAGAGTAGATAGAGCTTCGTTATATGATGTAAATTCACTCCCAAGGATGAGCTGAAAGGCACACTTCTGGACTAGCTGAATTGAATTTGCCAAATCGGTGGTCAGTGAGCTGCTCCAGCCAGGGGAGGCATATTCTAGCTATTCTAGCTCTGGGACGATGTACGAGGACCAAACAGCCAGTAAATCTTCACAGTCTCACTGATTCATTCTTCCAATTCAAATCTTAGCAGCAGCTTCTCTATGCTGCTATTAGAACTTAGGGTTTTGCCTTTTTGATTTTGCTTACTTTGCCAAATTTATCAGATTGGTTAATCTTTAATAATTGCAGTAAACTAGCCAGTCAGATGATAAGTGGTTACTCAGCAAAATAATTTCATCTGTTTGGGAAAGAATTTACAAGAATGATGAAGTTGCCAAACATACACTCATTGCCAAAAGTAAAAAGAGAGAGGGAGAAGTGCCTAGGAATAGAATGATCTAGATTGAGTTTAGTGCACAAGCTTGTGTCAAGTGTGTTATGAAATCAAATAAAGTCTCATGGTCTTAAGATAATATTTTTTTAGAATGTATGGCAAACACTTGTGTGTGTGCAAGGGGTAATACTAATCATCCATAATGATTGCTCCAGAAGGAATTTATTAATAAAACATGAAATGAGAACTCTTAATGATGATTGGAAAAAATTGAGCAACATTTGAAGGGCATAAGATGAGGTGGTACAGAGAAATATGCTAAATGCCTTAGGAAAGGAGGAAGAGAGCAGTGCTACTGGTGTGGCAGTATTCTTCTTCCATCGAGCTCTTCACTGTCAGGCATTTGTTAAACAGTGAAATTTTAATACACATCTAACATTTTCATAATCTTGTACATATTGGTTTTTTGCCAAATCTTATTCCATGATAGTAAAATTTACTTTTGTAATCTGGTATGGTACAGTCAAATACCATCAACAGTTTCAATATTGGACTCAAATTTATCTCCGTATGCAGTATCATGTTTTATTAAGTAATTTTGTTGATGCCAAGCTTCAACAGAATTTGCAGTTTTTTCTGAGAATATGCTCAATATGCTCATTGGAATGACTAACTCTTAATCTCATTGTACAGACCAAACATAGGGCATGGGGATTGGGGGCAAGTTCCAAGAATGCTTAACCATGAAAAACAGGGTGAAAATAGGGTTTTTCCCCATAAGCCCTTGCTTGTATATACAGGGTGCAGCATAAGTCGCTTTACTGAGAATAATTATTTTAATATTTGACTGCACTGATTTGGCAACACTGATCTTAATATGCTGTATAAATAGAATTTCTACTAAACTGCAAGCTAGTCAACTCACTACTGCACCCAGCGTATGGAAATCTGTGTTGCCAAATCAATGCAGCAAAATATTAAAATAATTATTCTCAGTAAAGCGACTTATGCTGCACCCTGTATATACAGTATGCAAGGGCTTATGAAAAGGTTCCCAGACTGAATTATTATTTTTCACAATCCATTGTGGGAAATCATACCACCACATGCTCTTCAAAGCTGTCTCCTTTGGCATTCACATGTTTTTCCAGTATTCCTTCACCTGCGAAACAAGGTTGCAGTCCATTGTCTGCTACTATGTTCTTGGCATCAAAACAACAATCCATTTGGCGAAACAATAGGCATAGGAAGAGAATGAGGTTGCATTAAACCAGACTTGGATCTGGTTTCACAGAGATGCAAGCAGCCATTTTGGCTATACTGAAGCTAGTTTCAGAACGATTTTAATTACCTTGTTTCATACAAGTGTAAGGCAGCTGGAAAAAGTGTGTGACTACCAAAGGGAACTAGTTTGAAGGAAATCATGTAATGATGTAGTTTCCCACTATGGATTGGTAAAAAAAAAAATGCCATGGGAACTTTTTGATATGTCCTCATAACTTTCCACCTAGTTTTTATTGACTTCTCTTCTTGACTCATGAGAAGAGGTGGCTCAACTCATAAAGTTATCCTGATTGAGTCAATCAAGGCCTCTTTCTGTGGCTTTCACTGATACTTATTGAAAGTCAGACTCACTTTGAATGAAAATAAATTTTTTCCTAAGTTAAGGTTTCAAGTTAAAGACTTATTGAGCAAGCATCCCACATATTTTCCTAGAACTTGATTTCTCACCACATGAAGAATGTATTGTGAAGCATTATGAGATATGTAGAGCCAAAGACCCCATTTACACCTTCTAGATGACAGGACAGCATAGCCCTTTACTCCCCTGGACAAGGGGATACATAGACAACCCTATTTTCTATTGTCTTTATTGTTATAAATGTTGTACCAGCTGGTAGGGGAGGCTTCAATTCATTACGGAAAAAAAAATCCTATTCTACTACTATTTGATGAATTTATAGAATTTTTATTAAATATATGAAAAACCAGAGTGTACTACAGCATTTTGCACTCAGAAACTGTCTCCCAGAGAGTGTTAAACCCTGCAGTAAAGATCCTTTTTCTCCAATGCTTTATTTTAGAAATAAATGCATTTTGTTTGTTTGACAACTTAATCTTCACTTGAAATTATTACTTTGACATTAATCATTTTCCTTCTTGGGTGTAAGATCTATGTAATAGAGATGTTGTCCAATCCTCTGTTGAGAAGAACTACTTGACATCTGTGTATCTGTTAACATCTGTGACACAAATGGTGAGCCAGATAATGACTGATTTCACAGATATTAACCATTTCACAGTCCAGTTTTTCCAAAACCTACCTGGAGCACAACTGATACAAAGCCATGAAAGGGTTAACTGCCAATTCTTTTAACCCTTTTGCTGCCACATTTGACTATGGTCAAAGTGCTTCTCATACCCTTTGAAATAAATAAGCAGCATAAGGGTTAACCTGTCAACTGGCGAGTTTCTGCTTGGCAGTGGCAGGCTGAGTGGGGAGTTTTTTCTGCAGCAACTCATGGATGCAATGGAGCTTCTTTTAACTCTTTCTTATTCAAGGGAAATGTTTCACAAATGTATAATTGGAGGGCAATTCCATATCTTCAAATCCCACGTCAAGCATATTTATCATTTGCACCATGCAGGAGAACAGCCATGACAAGTATAATCCTCTAACCCAGTTGACAGGTAAAATCTGGGAGTGGCATTTTGGTGCTTCTCAGTGTCATTATTTTATGGCTAAGCAAGAAAAGAAATGATAAGAGATTATGGAAGAGCTGCACTTACCTGGGTGACTATTCAAAGACTGTCACTCTCCTAAAAACTCCCTTTGAAATGAAGTAAGCAATTTGAATTTTGCAAGTCACTGAACACACTTTGCTTGCTCTCCTGCACTGGAGAAAACCAAAAAAATTAAAAGTTTAATCTTTTAACATGCTACAAACCTCAACTGTCTAGCTGGTTTGGTTCCTATTTTATTCAGTTTTAAAAGTGGTTCAATGAATCTAGGACACCCTATACTGTCGCTATTTCCTTATGCCTATCTTATGCCTAATACCATTTTGAAAAAGGATTCATTTCCTTCAGGTCTGGAGGAAAAGGTTGAGAGAGAAAGTAAGGAAGTTTTATTGAAAACAAGGAAGTTTTATTGAAAGCAACAGGATGGGAGCTGAGAGTTTTGTGACAGTGACCACAGGGCAGCCAAACCTGGTCAAACAGGACCTCTCCACTTTGGTTCGTCTGCTTTTCCTTCCATCCATATAATTATCTAGTTCTTTCACCTTCTCTTTTTTTTTCCAAAACTTTGATTCTGGTGGGACCACTTCCTTTTCTAATATTGGCCAAAGGATACAGGAATGAAATACATGGAAGTTTTACTTGAAAAAAGGATGAATGTTTTTGAAAGAAATTCTACTAAGAAAGAGAAAGGTAACTGTGAATGCATGTACAAGGGATGATCCAAAAGTTTCTGTCATGAGATATAAGGAAATGTGATGGACTCATGAAACAATATTTATTTTTCAATATCACCTCCTCAGACATCAACACTTCTGCCATTGATGGGACAGGGCTTTAACTTCCAAGGAAGGAATGCATTTTCCTTATTTGTCTAAAAATGTTTGGACAGTATTTTATATACTTTTTCACCTTTGTAGCTGATTCATCAGAAATTTTGTTTTGTATTATGCAGCATTGAATGAGCTATTTTATTTGGATAAATAAGCCAATATCCAAATTTTGGTTTTTCAATAATAAAATTGCATTGCTCCTCTGTTTTCAATTTTTGCCACTTCGGAATGAAATTATATTTAGCTGGAACATATTTTAAATATTAATTATTGAAAAAGAAAAGAAATGCAGTTAAAACCAATTGAAATTATCGAGCAGGGTGAATGTAACCAGCTTTCAGCCTTCTTGGATCATTTCCACTTCCTCAGGGCAGATATTTTTGGGTCTGGCTCATGGGTTTCCTTTAAACTTTAAATGTAACAGCAATATAGAGGTTTCTTCTTTCTTTGACAAAGCTGATAAAATTAATAACTTATCATGTCACTAAGACTTACTTATATTGAAAATGTCAGTGAAGTCAGTTACTTGAAGTTAAGGAGTAACGAGACAATTTTGCCAAACTGCTGTCAATAATTATGTCCATAAAAAAAAATTGAGAAATCAATATGAAGAACCTGAATTTCAGCCTAATTTTCTTCCTAAGTGAGTTGAGTTAGTGTCTCACATACATGAATGTGATTATTCTTGCTTAACTTAGTGCTTAGTGAATGCCTTATAAGTCTGAACTCATGGAAATGGAAATTAGAACATTTTGGATGCTTCATGGGCAACATAAAGCCCAGAGAGTTATTGTCAATTTGGTTTTCTGGCTGGGAACTCAATAAAGATATGTCCCCAGGTAAATTTTGGCAAGTCTGCTACATGACAAGCTATCTGAAGGGGGCTCAAGGATAGCACCATGACTGCATACATGAGTGTGATATTGAAACCTAAGCTAATGTTAAGCCATAAAACAGTTCACTTGGAATGGATGAAGAATGAGATGGATGTGGCAAACAGCTGACATGAGAGTGTCTTTTCAGATGAAAAAATATTTAGAAGACCATTTGAACCAATGACATTAACATATTTTTGTTACACTGACTCAGCTCACTTATACAAGAAATGAGGCTGAAATTCAGGTTCTTCTCATTATTACTAAATTTTTTTAAGTGGACCTACGATTATAGGCATGACAGCTCGATGAAATTTTCTCTTATCTCCGGAAATTCAAGCATCTGACTGACTTCAATAAAAGTTTCAAATATAAGTATTTGTGACAACAAATTTTTTCAATTTCTTTGAAATGAGAACTTAACACTTAGAAAAATTAGTTGGACTGAACAGAACAAAAGAACTGAACAGTATAGCTCCTATTATGAGTGCAATGCAAAATCTTGACATAATAATAAAAAAATAAGAAAAAAAACTTAAATTTAATATTGTGATAACTGCAGGACTATTACTTGGCTTATAGCTCACAGCCTTTATATGAATAAAAGGCTCTGTCAAACTAATTAATGACAGGAGGTTTGAGGGGAAGGTCCAGGAGGCTTTTCAGCATTCCTATAAAAGTTAGGATAATTGAAGATTCTGGGCTAAACATTTGCATGTAGGATATACTTTGAATTTTTCCAGCTTGCAATCCCATATAAATAAAAAAAATTAATTCAGGTTTTAACATGACTGTCTCCTACGTGGATATAGGACATGAAAAAGCTGAGTCCATTATCCCCAGACGTGATCAGTCGACAGGCGACCATTAACATTGGGACTATTGGACATGTGGCTCATGGGAAATCCACTGTGGTTAAGGCTATCTCTGGGGTCCAGACTGTCCGATTCAAAAATGAACTGGAGAGGAATATCACCATCAAACTTGGTGAGTTTCTTTGTCCCCCTTTCAATGCTAGGAATCTCAAGTGGACCTATTAGAGTCTCCTCTTATTCTTTCAGTTCAAGTAATTTGGGTACGTCAAGGGCTCTTGAGCTTGGATTTAAAGAAAGTTTGGTGCTTGGAACCTAACTGACTTCTTTGCTTCAGAATTCTGTTGAAATTTGAATGACAGGATGATGATCACATTCTCATGCATGAAATTAACTTCATGATGGGTTCATGAAGGATTGAGGCTATAATGATGGGTTCATGAAGGATTGAGGCTATGAAACCATTACTATGCTTCAGACTTTAACGTTTTCAATGCTGCATTCATTTTATTTACATATCCCTGTATTGAGTTTTGTACTTCTGGTGCACCATGATGTGTTCTACTTATGAAAAAAATATATATGTTCCCTCAATTACCTTATTATGTGGTGTTGAACTGATATGTATTCTGAAAAATCTCAAGAAGCACCAGAAGATATGCTGCACAAAGAGACACACTTCAGTGATCAAGTTAACTTGTTCATAGCAGTTAAAGGGTTTACCCTCACTTCTGTGCTGAGGTTTTTTCTGACCCCACTCCTCAAAAAACTTTTTTTTAAGTCCTTACAGAAATTAGAAATTATTCATGGATGTCATCTTTCTTCAAAGACTTTTTTCCTGTAAGTATTCCTTAGTGGTGAAATAATTCATAAAGGTACTCAGAAATACACAAAGGTCAAAAAAGACCCCAGAGAGAATATGTCATTTTAAAGCTGAGAGGAATCAAGAGTCTAATGCTGCTAATGAATACTAATGAATCCACTATTCAGGGAAATGTTTTTATGTTGAGTAGCCTCTCAAATTTAATGTCTAAAATATAACATGAATCTCCTGTCTTTCTCATGCTGTCCCAGAAAGGATAAGCCCAACCATTTTATTATGAAAAATCCAAATTATTGGTTTCAGAGTCAAATTTAAGGGGAAATGCAGTCAGGGGTGCCATCAGGAATAACTATAATAATTCATAAAATGGATCATTCTAAGTGCAAGGAATTATTCTTATTAGTTCTGAAAGGTACTGTAGTGTAGGAAAAAGAAACTTTTTTTTTTCCCATGAACCTGAGAGTGACATTGGAATTTTATTGGAAGAATATGCAAACAGACTAAGCAGGTCAAGCACCCATGTGTCTCCATTCCTGCAAACCTCGTTTGCAGGTTCGCAAGGGTTTGCCTAGCCTGAGGTACTGTACATTTCAATACTCTAAGAGTATTGAAAAGTACCTTTCAGTACTCTTAAAGTATAAATGGTTTAATTATGAAATTTTGATGTATGTCATACTTGATGCTAGACTATGAAAGTAACCAATTACATTTTGACTGTCCTATATGTGACAAAATCTAAAATGTCTTTGTAATGTAAAGGAGAAACAGCTCTTGGATATTTACTGCATGGCATCCTTTTCCCTTAGGTTATGCAAATGCCAAGATCTACAAGTGTGACAGTGAATTGTGCCAGCGTCCCATTTGCTACACATCAGGAGGATCAAGCAAGGAGGACTCATTCCCATGTTATCGAAGCAATTGCCCAGGGCGATTCCGAGTTCAGCGACATGTGTCCTTTGTTGACTGCCCCGGTCATGACATTCTCATGGCAACCATGTTGAATGGGGCTGCTGTCATGGATGCTGCTCTCCTTCTTATTGGTTTGTCTCTCTCCCAATCTGCATCATTATTCATTATTCATGATCATTATTATCAGTCTTTATTGAAGTTGTCATTTAATCATCCTGCACTAAATCTTGAATATCAGAATGGTGTATGGTATTTGACTCATGTGGCATCTCTAAAATCATTCCACTATTTTTATGTCTCATGGAATTCTCTGCTCTACAATTAAACCCACAATCTTGAGCTAGAATATTCGGGCATCAAAATTCAGCAGGTATCTGCCCAACCAAGAGTAGACTGACTTTTCTAAATGACAAACTGTAGTTCCAGAAGGTAAACAACTTTCCTAATTTTAATCTCTTTGTGGAATATATCAAATATGATCAACACTGATAGATTTCATTGTTGATGAAATCTATCAGTGTTTCAGGTTTATTATCAAATACCTTTGCTTGTTGACCCATACGCTGAACAAAGTGAAGTCCAAATTGCTGCCCTTCCACCTTATTTTCATTCAAAGCTGACCTAGGCTTGCAGCAGAATCTGGCCAGAATGCTTTAATTCCACCAATAGCATATTTATCTTGTTTTAAAGACCTGATTATAACAAAGTCTATTCAAGGTCCCACTGACGAAAAAGATGTCAATGTCCCCAACTTGTCATTCTTGACTGGAATTTCCATCATCAGAAGAGTGAGCGAAAGATAAATTTATGGCTTGCCATAACTTTCATGATCGGAAGGATGAGCGTTACTGAGCCATAACTTTATATTTCCTGGAATCAACATTCCTTGAGAGTCATGTGGGTATGACTGGAGGAAGGTGAAGGTGGGATAATCACCAGTAACTAAAAAGATCAAGTCAAAAAGACCTCAGTCATCATTTGCATTTCTCGTTGACAACATGGCCAGTGAAAAGCAAAAGAGGCAAGCTTTCGCAATTACCAAGATAGTATGCATAATTCGTTTAACACGTTGGTGACAATGCGTCCTGATGCCAGGATGCAGATTTTTTTTCAATGAATACCCTCTGGAACTGTTGAGAACGTTCCAGAAGATTATGATTTCGTAATTACTGATAAAAATTCCAAAAAATTCAACATTTTAAAAAAACTCAGCAAAAAAATGTTTTCTGGGACCATGCGTCCTGATGGCAGGACGCATTTTTTGACAAAAAAAATGCGCGTGGTCCCACGCGGCAGACAAGCAAAAATAGGCTGGTCGTCAACGTGTTAATAGAAAGTGGGGGAAGTAAAGCTGACATCTCTTGTGAACATGGATTAATTCATCTCCTAGTTCATCTGTTTCTGCAATTTAAAAAAATTGTGATATCTTCACACGTACTTAGAAGAACGTGCAACAAAACAAGAAACTTTGTAGATCTGCTTGAGATGATGTTAAGAAATCCTTGCAAAAGAGATTCAAGGTCCAAAAAAATGCAAACATCACAATTAGTAGGCCAATGCATAAAGTGAAGCCAGTGCAGGACGACTGATTTTCACTAGAGTTGTATGTAGCATCTATTTTTAAAACAAGGGAACGTAATGTCAATAAAGGCAAACTTAGTTATAATGGTGATTTTTCTGTGGTTCCTTCAACAATGTTATAACCAAGTTTGACTGTATTGTTCTTTAGGGATTCAATAAGATTCAATTATTTTTTAAGGATAATTTTTCCAATATGGCAAATGAGGTCACCTCCTGGACAGATGACCTTGACCCATAGAGACCTGAAAGTGCTGATTTTATATAGTTTCCAAAAATGCCTAACTGCAAAAGAGTGATTTGCAGGGATAAAATCATAATTGCCCATTATATGGGCAATTATGTCTATGTGCTAATTATTATATCTATGTGCTTTGTGGATGACTGGATTAGAAAGTTCAGGTGTAAACATTTTAGCCTGGAGGATGAGCCCCATGCAGGTTGTCCAATTACAGAAGTGACAAAACAAATGCGGCTTAAGTGAAAGCCATCATTAAGGAAGACTGAAAGTGACATATGCTGTCATAGAAGAGACTCTTGGTATTGAGAGTCTGCCTTTAAAAAAGATTATGCACGAAATTCTTGGGGTGGAAAAATGCTGTTCCAGTTGGGTCCCCCAATCCCGAGGATAAAAAATGGCTGGAGTCAATTTCTGCCAAGAAATGTTGAAAAAATTTGACAAAGGAACTTTAAATTTGATGCAGTGGTGGCAAGACCACCCAGAGACGATTTCATATCTTTGAAACAGTTTCACAGGTAGCTGCCTTTGGTAGCCATACCAAATCAACATTTGCAGATCTTAGTGGGTTAAGGATATCTGTCCTGAAGAGTGACCTCTTTTGACCTCACACTATGCATTGCAATATTGGCAAAACACTTTTTAAATCTCACTAAATCTTATTACACCCCTGAAAAACAATATTAAAAAATTGCAATAGGATCAGACAATATTTAATGCCATTTGGCAAGAACTTTTGGAGTGCCCTTTGTACTAAACTCAACCCTGTCAGGCATGCCTGATCCTGACATGTGCCCACACCCTTTCCTGTATGACTAGGCCTATGAGACTGTGCTAGGGAATGATAGTTTTCAAACCTGAAGTTGATAATCCACAGTTCACACTCATAACAAATTCAAAGGGACAGGCTAAAAATGTTGTTATAAAGAAAATGAGTTAATAGAGTCTATGATGATATTCTATGTAAGATATTGTTCATTTTATGAAGTCATTTCTTTGTAACAAAATTGTTAGCCTGTTCCTTTGAATTCATTATTTCAAGCATTGACTGTATTAGAATACAAGCCACAAAAGCTGAAATGAATATGGCTACTTGGATGATTATCACATGCCTTGAACCTCTGCCTGTTCTTAAATTAAAATTACATTTCAATTTAGACTTTGATAAAGATTTGCCCTGATTGCTTTCTGTTTCTGCTCTCCCTCAAATTTTGAATTAACTTCGTGCTGATTATGATGAATGCACAGCGGGGAATGAGTCATGTCCGCAGCCACAGACTTCAGAACACTTGGCTGCCATTGAGATAATGAAACTCAAGCACATCATCATCCTCCAGAACAAGATTGACCTTGTGAAGGAGAGTCAGGCGAACGAACAGCATGAGCAGATTCTCAAATTTGTCCAAGGTTTGTCTTCTACCTTTCATGACAGTCTTCTGAGATTCAAGTAGTTTTGGCATGAATCTTTTTTTTTTGCCAATTTAGAATTGGAACATGGTCTTGAGCAGAACTATTAGTTGCATGCCTTAGTCCCTCAATGGTTTTCAAAGATTTGTAAAGATTTTGAGTCTCTCTCATGGACTTCAGAGACCCTTGCCAGGTACAGTACCGCCAGAAGTTTGAGGCAGGTTGCAAAAATGATCCTTTTTGAAGAAAAATACAAAAAAAAATTATCGCTCTTTTTTCAAACGGAATGTAAATGATTTTTTGTAGCATTTATTTGCCAAAATTTTTCTTTTCTTTGTTATTATTCAATTTATTTTCAAATTATTCACGATTTCACGCAGGGACACGTTTCGCGTTCTATTTCTAGCTTCACTTTAAAGTGAATTAACGTTAAAAGTTTTTACATTTTGAAAAGGTTTCATCTGGTAAATATTATATTTAATTAATTTTGTTATAATTACTACATTTTTTACTGGAACAGTTATACTGCCAATTATCTCGCAAAGTGTATTCGGAGACAGATTCAATTTTCAATTTTTTTTTTAAGTCTGGAAAATGGGTAAAATATTACATCTAACTGTTACAGAAAGAGAAAGAATCTTTATTCAGAGGGAGGATACTCGAAAGTTCAGATTGCAGCAAATATGAACGTTTCTCGTTGTTGCATACAAAGATCTTTGAGGCACTTCGAGAGATTTTCTACTCATGAGAGCCAAAAATGAACCGGCATGTTGAAAAAAAAGAAGAAAACGGCAAGATATTGAAATTAGGAACATTTATTCATTAGGTAGAAGACTGACGGCTGGTAAAATCACGTCCTTATACAATCAATTCAATGTTGTTCTCATCAGTACTTCAATGGTGCAAAACCGTTTAAAGGAGTTCGGACTACACGGGCATGTGGCTGCATAAAACCACTGCTGCGTCCAGTTAGTAAGAAGAAAAGACTGGATTGAGCTCTCCAGCATAAGGATTTCAGTCATAATGTGGAAATGAGTGGTCTGGACTGATGAGTCCAAATTCGAAATCGTAAGCTGCAAACGTCGAGATTTTGCGCACAGATGGTGAAAGATTTGCTTCTGAAAGATTTGCAGAACAATGCTTGGTGCCCACCGTCAAGCATGGAGTTGGTTCAGTAATCGTGTGGGGTTGCCTTGGTGGTGATCAAGTAGGAAGTCTTCATCGCGTCGAGGGAATCATGACCAAAGAAGCGTTCAGGGACTTTTAGTGACCATGCATGACAACAATCCCAAACACAGTAACAAGATCTATGAGAGCTGTTTGAACGAATTGAAGCGCCAGAAAATTATAAAAATAATGCACTGGCTACCAAAATCGCCCAATGTGAATCCAATTGAATTGTAGTGGGAAGAACTGATCACAGAGAGCGACAAAGAAAAACACCATCCACCAAAAACTTCTGGGACATTCTGCTACTATGCTGGAACGGCCTTCCATCTGCTACACTAGAAAAATTGATCAAAAGAATACCCAGAATCTGTGCTGCCGTTATAAAAAATTGTGGTGGTTATTTCAATTTAAGTAAAATTTGAATTGAAAATGAAAAATATGTGCTTTTCTTGCACAAATATGTATTTTCTGAACGTAAACTAAGTAAAATTATATTTTTCAGAGAAGAAAATGCTAGATTTTTTTCATATTTCTTATGATTTGCGAAATTTTCCTACCTGCCTCAAACTTTCTGGCGGTACTGTATATCATGAAGTATCCATACCAAACAGGGCATTGTCATCACCATCAGAGCTGGTCTTTCAGAGTACTGTCACCACTCCTGATCTCTATACAATTAAGTTTTTCCCTTGTAGTCAAGAATGGAGAAAGGACCTTCTGGAATGAAGATGATGAATTGAGGCATTGCACTTTATCCAGTTATATTATTGTCATTGACATGCGACTCTTACTGCATCATATCATGAATTGTTGGTTCTTGTTGCTTACAGGTATCAGAAAAAGTGTCTTCAAAAAGATAGCTCAGCCATGCACTTTTATGCCAAGATGTATCATTTGGATTGTAGTAAAATGAGTTAAAGGGTACAGATTTCTTCTCAGGTGGAGAGGAGAGGAATTCCTCCCTGTCCCCTTATCTTTGCATTGTTTTGGTAAGGGGGGCAAATCAAAGGAGAGAACTTCCTCTTTTATGCTTCTCCCCTCTCTTGTACTGCTCCCCTCTTCTGTACCTATTACCATGCAATGAAAATATTGAGAAATCTTTGAAAAACTGAGCAGAGACAGATTTTGAACATGTTGGTCCAATATAAGAGATTCCATTGGAATTCAAAATGAAAATTTTCTCTTCTTCACCCAGTGAAAAATGTGCAAATTCACAAGAATTCAGATGTGAAATTGAATTGAATTGATTCCATTGGAAAACAATACTTGCTCTAACAACTATTATTAAGTGATATAAACTCTTGCTGGAATTTTAAAAATAAAAGGTTGCAACAAAGTGGGGGTTCACTTTAATAATGTTTAGTCATGATTTGTTTATACAATCACTGACTCATTCCAAACATGCTTGGACTTGTGTCGATGCTCATCGAGACATTTTCTGCAGCATGTTAGGTATGACACCTGCAATTGTAGCTGTCACAGCAACCTCTAGTTTCTGTGACCACTGTCACATTCCTGAAAAGCACATCTCATGTCTGGGACCTTCTGATTGGTTTTGATTTGTTCATGCATCCATGCAGAAGCCACAAGTCTCTCTTCAATACTGTATGTGCTTAGGTCACTCATAATCTGTAAAACTTGTATAAGAAAGGGGCTGTCAAGACAACCTATATACTAAACTGATCCCCCACTTAGTTGCCATCCTATACAACCCAAGATCAAAATGCTGAAACCACCTTTGATGAACAGCCTTCCATAAATCCATGGATTCCTTTTGAAAATAAGAGCTCTTTAAGTTTATAGGCCCTTTCATCCTACCCAAATGATGTTTCTGCATTCAGGCTGAAGTCCTCTACCTTTACAACACCAGATCAAGGTCCTAGGTCTACAGTAAAACCTTTAGTATGACTAAAACAGAAGAGGGAATAAATGGAGACTTGTAATATGAAGGGACTGTGGCCGAGGGGGCTCCTGTGATCCCGATTTCAGCCCAGCTCAAATACAACATAGAAGTGTTGTGCGAGTACATCTGCAAGAAGATCCCTGTCCCACGTAGGGACTTCACCTCCCAGCCCCGGCTCATTGGTAAGTGTATGGTCTCTTTGCTTTTGGTGAGCTTCCTTTGGGAAAATATTATCTAGCCACTCTTAGTCCTATCCTGTTTGTGATGTAGGTATAAAGTGATACTGTACAATCAAAATTTGGTTAAAAATAAAGATTTTTGCTTTGAAATTGAAGATATGCCTGCATAATTTGGCTGTACCAAATGAACAAGAGGAACTATGGTTGTCTAATTTCCTCCTTCACCCCTAGCCCCCTCTATTGGGTGATTCATATAAAAAAAATCAATTCAATCTTTTTCGGCTATCTTTGGTTGTTTTTTGGAGGTGTGAGCTTTGCATCAAAATCACAGGGAAGCTCAAGGTCCTGAGCAAGCTTTCTGAACTTCAGTAGGAGGTCCCCTGGGAAAACCACTGCAGCTTCCAGGATTAACCAGGCAATCCACACAGCTTTGAAGAATGATAACTGTAAGGTCCCAAGTCCTCCAAGCCCAAGCAAAAAACAGGACTTCTGAGGGAAATCCAAATACTTCACTGCAATGCCTTTGTTCATATAACTGGGAACATAAATGGAACCATGGAGGGAAGATGCCATGGCTCCCACCTTACTCCTGCAGTGGATGCTAATTGCAAACCTGCATTATGGTCTATAGTTTAATCACTTTTCTGTTTTACTCAAAATAGATGCTAATTACTTCATATTCCTTGGTTATAGGAGCTGTATAAAAAAAAACCTTTGAATTTCATCTTGTCAGCATGATGTAAAGCTTCTATTATTAACTCTCCTATTCCAGGCAACAAAGAAAGTTATTGATGTGAGTTTTTTGTTGGATCAAGTACAGGGTGTCTCATAAGTCATGCACATTAGGGAGTATCACTTGTCTTTGGAAATTCACAAAATGTAGTGGTCTCTTGTTGAATGCTCAATATGAGTCTCTTCCATGATTTTTGGACCCCTTGCAGCATCTCTTCAGCAATGGACATGCAAGTGTTGATGATATGTTACTTCAAATGAGTGATATCTCATATTTGACAACATGCACAAAGACCTTGACATGTTTCCATTAGTAAAAATCAAGGGGTGAGAGATAGGGATGGGTTATTGGGCAAGGTCAACTTTCATATTGTTTTTTCCTGCACAGTTTGTGCTCCATTTGTATGTCATGACTCAGAAGTGATAAAATAGTTCACTGATTAACATGGTCATTTTTGAGAATTTGCATATTGCAGTTGCTTTACAGCCAACTCCATATTTCTTGAAGGATTTCCAGACTGTTTCCTGTGGCTTCATTTCACATCACAAATGATTCTGTATCTTAGCTACCTAATATTGGACGAATTCATGAACACATGTACACACGGACACACTGACACAAAAACAGTCTCTTTTTACAGTGGAGGGATGATAGCCATAAAGTTATTGAAGCCCAGACCACCATCTTACCAGCCAAGTTAGGCCAGTTGAACTAAAGCTAAGGCTTACCATACAGTCCTAGGTCTAAGAAGAGCACCTCTAAGATGTCACTTTTTAAGCGTAGGTCATCCTTGTCCTTCAGAAAAATCAGTTGCCTTGCTCAAGGAAGTTCTTTATTGCTAGATTAATTTTTTTTAGGCATAGGCCTAGGTATAATCCAAGTACTTGTCCCTTAATCAGAGACTGAGAATAATTTGATGCTCTGATGCAGAATATTGGCCAAGACCATGATAGACCTTGCATTAAACTGAATTTCTAAAGTTATTGCTTAGATCTTGAACCTTAACTTTAGAAGTCATTAAAGCTGTAAGACCTTGAACTCCACACTCTACCCTTGACTCTACACCACTCAGGTGAGAGGTCCTGGTAGTTTTAGCATTTTCTATATTTTTATACCCAACAGGTACCACAGTCCAGATTTGGCGGGCTACATGAATATAACTTTAAAATAGAACCAGCTCTTTGGTTTTTGTGCTGGAGGATGAATGACCATGGTTATGTGCTCTGTAAAAATGTCTTAATTCACTGAGTAAAAAATGGAGAAGTCAATTAAACATCAATTAAAAGATGGTCAATTGACTGGTAAGTTAACCACTCCATCCCTAGTGAAAGGTCTGGTAACTGCAGGGGCCACTCAACAGCTCCTCTTCTTCCAGTTCAATGGCCAAGGAAAATTAAATTCTCCTTCTTCATTTAGCAATGACAGTATATCCAGATAATTGTTGGCATTTATGGTGTTGGCAGCAAAGAACAGTTCAGTTATTCTTGTGTTCCATAAACTACACCATACCATTGCACATGGACCTTCCCCATTTTTCACAGCCATCCATCTGAAGGGAGTTATCGTTGCTCCAATACATTAATCAGCAATTTAAAAAATGAAACATACAAAATGTAAAATTTAAAATAAAAAATTTTAAGTCAAATAAACCATTGACAATTAACCTTGTCCGAAACATAGAAAAGTTTACTGGGGAAATCTGGTTTCAATATCAGTGACTGCATCACCCATTTGAAGAGTTACCTATCCGGTGTCATCTCCACTCAGTTTTTGCAACATTTGGACCTTGCATGGTTGCCACTTGTTCTGTTTGAGAATGTATTGAATGCTGTGTCTGCTTACACCAATCTCAGAGGACATCCTGTGAATGGACTCATTGGAACAGTAAACTTTACCAGTACCACAACAGTTGTATCTTTCTCAGTTGCAGTCTTCAGTTCCCTACTGCATGGCTTGTCATTTACACTGCCTATGTCCTTAACACGTTGGCGACAATGCGTCCTGATGCCAGGATGCAGATTTTTTTTCAATGAATACCCTCTGCAACTGTTGAGAGCGTTCCAGAAGATTATGATTTCGTAATTACTGATAACCAAAAATTTCAACATTTTAAAAAAACTCAGCAAAAAAAATATTTTCTGGGACCATGCGTCCTGCTGGCAGGACGCATTTTTTGACAAAAAAAATGCGCGTTGTCCCACGCGGCGGACAAGCAAAAATAGGCTGGTCGTCAACGTGTTAAACTTTTGCAACCGTCTGCCTACACTGGTATGTGATACTGGGTCCCAGTCAGGATGTGCATAATTGAACTTCATGGCAATGAAGTTCAATTCTCTTGCTCTTGCTATCTTGCACCTCCACACCTCAAAATCATCTCAGAGCATTTGTGTTTACAAAATGCCATAACTCAAATACAGGGTGTCTTATAAGTCACTATACCATTTTAAAAATCACATCTACAGAACATGCTGCACAAAGAGGAAGTAACATTAACTGAACAGTAACCTGTCATTTGGAATTATCTTTGTCACAAATGAAGGCAACTCTGAGTTTTGAAAGTGTTAAATAAAAATTTCTCTTGACTTATCTCTTGTACATTCAATCTGCCTTTGCAGTGATCCGGTCATTTGATGTGAACAAGCCAGGTTCAGAGGTGGATGAATTGAAGGGAGGAGTTGCTGGTGGAAGCATTCTCCGTGGTGTCCTTCAGGTCTCACTCACCAATTCCTCACCTCTCTTCTCTTTTCTCTTTTCACTTTCCTCTATCTTGTCTTGCATGACTCTTTCACTCTCCCTTGGACATGTCCATTCCCCTAGGTTGGGATGGAGATAGAGGTGCGACCAGGGATTGTGGCCAAGGATTCTGAGGGTCACCTGTCGTGTCGACCAATTCGGTCCCGCATTGTGTCACTGTTTGCTGAGCAGAATGAGTTGGTGTATGCAGTCCCTGGAGGGTTGATTGGAGTTGGGACCAAGATTGACCCAACCCTCTGTCGTGCAGATCGTCTTGTTGGTCAGGTCTTAGGGGCTATTGGGGCACTCCCTGACATCTTCACTGAATTGGAAATCTCCTATTTTCTTCTGCGACGACTGCTTGGTGTCCGCACAGAGGGCGACAAAAAGGCAGCCAAGGTATAACCAGGCAGGATTCCAATATGGTTTATTGCTGTATGGTTTGCTGACAGCAATATGGTTTATTGCTGTCACATAACTGTATTGTGAAATTCTCATGTCATATTTATGTATCTACCCACACTCATGAGGACTTCATCTTCTGCAAGACTTTATTTATTTTATTGCCTTTTGTTCATCATAGTACCTCATAGATGGAGTCTATCTTTTTTCCAAGACTTTTTCATAACATTGCACCCAGCATCAGTGTGGGGCTCTGACAACCCTGTACTGTTGGGGTAATTGTGGTCAATTTCAATTATAATTTTTAAATGTTGTCAGTTTTACACATCTCATGAAATGTAATAAGAAATACTGATTGTATGTTATTGTGAGGTTTTGAAATTGCTGCAAAATGCAGTTGCAGTTGTTATTCTTTTGTCATGTGGTACAAATTTGAAGTAACCGGTATCAGATTTGCTATATGGTAATGATATTTCTCCCTCCCCATTCTGATGACAGCAGAATGGGTTCCAATCAGGAGTGTCTCTCACAACCATTTGGTATTAGCACTTGATTCTCCATATAGGATGTGGGGGAAGCTGAGACTGTAAGAAATGTTTGGAAATATCAGAATGCAAGATCAAAATAAATAGGACATAATTCCTTAATGCAAGTACAAAAATAGAATCCATCCATAGCATCTATAGTATCCTATCATGCTTTCATTTTTTTCCAATGTAAGTCACACTCTCTTCCAGCCTCCCCCTGTGCAAGAAATGGTAAAGAGATGTGGTGCCATGAATCTTCCGTGAGCTGGCATGAAAAAAATTTATAACAAAGTACAGAATATTGAATAATAATTTACTGGCTTCTCCCCACCCCTGGTGCCACAGTTTGCACCCAGTGATGTGTTTAAGATCATATTTGCAATTGGCCCATCAACCAAAGACTACCATTAGTTCAGCCATTTTTGTAACTGGAATGTCTTTGGACTCCATAGCACTCCATGAAGGTATTCATCATCCTTTTTTGTCTGCCAGGGGACTTAAACTTCTGTCATCTTGTTGCTTGAGTATTATTTTCTTATTAATTCATCTTTTGGATAATAGCAAATCCACTGTATTGATATCATCATCAATGTGAAAAGTGACTAGCAAGAAGCAATTTAGTGTTTTCTGATAAGGTTTTGCATGCCACATTCGCACATGGGCAAAGTGCACTTTATGGCACTGAATGACTCCATCCATTGACTGGTGTAGGTGGCAAAGCTGGCAAAGAACGAGGTTCTGATGGTGAACATAGGATCCCTATCGACAGGTGGCCGAGTCCTGGCAGTGAAAGCTGATCTGGCCAAGATTGCCCTTACCACTCCTGTTTGTACTGAAGTTGGCGAGAAGATTGCCCTCTCCCGTCGTGTTGACAAATGCTGGCGGTACTGTTCTCTTCCTTGCTTTTTTACTCAGCAGACTACCTCCTTTCAATAGGAACTCATGTTCCTGTTGAAGCTCTGGACAACAATTGGCTCTGTTAAATTTACTGCATGTGGAGTTGCTTGATTTAAAGAGGGAACTACTTTCATTCTCTCTTGAAGTGAAACTCAACTGAACCCTTGCAGGAAATTCACAGTATTAAAATATAACTGAGTGGTAATACAAAAGTTTCTTCCCAGAGTTAGTAGGAATGATTGCAGAAGGCTGAAATTTGTTCCCATATTCCTCTATCCTTTTTGGTAATTTTAAGGATCAGCAATTGGTTTATATCTTTAATTTGTTTATTCTTAATTGGTTTGTACTAGGGCTGTCATGATAGCAGTTTTCAAAACATTGATGCATCAACCTAAACTATTGATAGTGTATCGATGCAAGGATGGAGGGGGGTGCGCCGGAGGATTCAGTCTTTTCTTGCCTTGATCAGAGCATGGACCTTTATCTGTCTTCCATAATCTCACGCTTGTGATCGGGTGGTGTGGGAGGAAGGTGAGACCTTCGCAATGAGTAATGAAACCTACCATGCCTCCAAATATCGAGGATGATATCCATTCATTGATGGATGCCTCAGGACAGTCAACATTTTTTATTATTGCCATTGAGAATCAATTGCCAAGCCTGTTCATGTAATTTTTTTCTCATTTTCTTCGTTCTACAGGGTCCGCCAAAAGTAGTGTAGGGATTTGTCTATTGAATAACTTCTGAAATATCAGTGATATTATTTTTCTCTTTTTTTTAGGTTGTAGAGTGGGCCTTGGAGTTTTATGATGAATTGTTGGACAGTCGAACAATATGCAGCAATTGTGGAGCTTTACTTTTTTAACGGACACTCCATCCTCAAAGCTCAGTGCGCCTACCATTTATGGTTTGGTTGAAGCACCTTATGAACATGATATTCATTGGTGCATTGCACAATTTCGTGGTGGTGTTGCTGAACAGCCATAACCCAGAAGACCTCGCAGCAGCTGAAATTCACAACACGAAGAGACTGTTCACCAAGCAATTCCAGAAAATCAGTGCATTGCCTATCTCAGGAGTTAGGAATATCCAGAACATCACTGCATCGCATTTAATCGAATGAATTACACTTCTACCCACATAAAATTCAGCTTGTGCAAGATCTGCATGACTGAAAATGATGGAGGAGAGAAAGGGCTCATACAAACCTTCCTGCTGGTCCAAAATCCTGCTGCTCCAGAAGCAAAACAAGGACTGCATTTGCTGAGCCAGGGGTCTCCTCCACTGATTCCTAATAGGCAAGGGAAGGAAAAGTTTTAAATTGAACTTGTCATCGGGAATCACTGATGAAGAACTGCAGAAGGAAGCAGGAGAAATGCATGTTTCCATGCCCCTTTAAGCATGTCTATTTACTTCTAAAGGATTGAAATATATTCATGATTGCTCACATTTCCTAAATAAATTGAATATATGCTTCAAGCTAAAAGTTTTAAATGTTTTTAGTTTTCCAATATATATAGTTTTCCTATAAATGCTGATGGAACTCTTACCATAACAGATGTATCAAGCTCATGCACACTATGAACAACACAATTGCATGAGATGCAGTGACAGGATGATTGAAGGAAGAATTAAAAAAGGAAAGGAAGGAAACAATTACAGAGCAAGGCCTGTGCTCCAACATTAACAGCTTCCAAGGTCCTCCCTATACTCAGAGGTCGAGGGATGGGCCACTCTGCCTCAGCTACCTTCACTACCTCTATTGGCCCCTCCAGTTCCCTGCTTCGGAAAATAAAAGAAAAACAAACTATAATAATCCTATAAATCTACACCAAGCTAAAATTTCTCCTTATTTCACAAAGATTTGGCAAGAAAGAATACCTATGTTTTATGGCTATTTCCATCAAAGGGTTCTTTTTTGGTGATTAGAACATAGCTAACAAGACTTTCCTTTTGCAATTATATTCAGCACTGGAATTGAATGAATCTCTAAGCTTTAAGCAAACTTATAGCCATTTGTGACTGAAAATATACTATACTTCCTTAATTCCCTGAATAGCAGCAACATTACGATAAAAATCTCTGACAGACCTCGGACTGAAAGTCATAACTCCATGTATAGAGACATGCCCCAGGTAGATGACATTGTTCGTGGGCATGATTCAAGGCCAAGGTCTAAATGAGAGCAGGACTTGTGTTGAGCTTCCATGCTGCTCTCATTTGACCAAAGAAGGTTCCCAGGCAACAAATGGTTTCCAAGCTAAGATGTTAAGAATGACCATGGAATATGTCTTGAAGAGATGGGAAGTCAGCATCTTCAAAGAAAAATAATACAATCATAAATTCAATTAAGGGTCCTTCTCAAGGTGAAGTCCTGCAGGTGCATTGTGGTTGACAATGGTAGTCCTAATTGTAAGATATCAGGATACCTTATTATACCTTATACCCCATTCCCAACATTCCTTGTNAAAAAGACTGCATTGACATGGTTAAAGTCCCAGGACCCACAGTTCTTTCGGGATGGACTAAATGGCTGGTATCATCGCTTACAAAAGTGTCTTGAACTTGATGGAGCTTATGTTGAGAAATAAAGTTTATATCTTTCACTGTTACTTTTCAATGTCATTTTTCCACGAACTTTTTGAAGCCCCCTCGTATATGTTCCAGTCAAAAGTATATCTATTTCAAAAAGGGAAAATTTGAATATGGAGCAGTTTTTTATAATTTGTATTATTAATTAAAATATTCATCTGATATACATGTATTCATCCCAATAAGACAGCTCAATATAAATCTAAAGCAAAACTTCCTTTGAAGTGGCCACAGGTGAAACTGACAATGATGAAGCATATTTATTTGACAATGAAAAATGAATTTTTCCCTATAAAATTGAAGCCCTGTTCCATCCATCAGACAAGTATTGATGCCTAGGGAGGTAATGCTGCAAAATAAAAATTGTTTAAGCAGTCTATAACATTCCCTCATATCTCAGGGCAGAAATTTTGGATCACCCTTCGTATGTCCTACAGGACTGTACAATATAACATTAACCAGTCCAGCCCAAGATCCTCTATGCAATTGCACATCTCATAACTGAGGACAGTGGTTGCTCCTAGTTGCCCATATGAAAAAATCATATGTGGTCATATATGTCCATATATGAAATATAGTGCTAGGACAAAATGTCGCCAGACAAAATGTCACCTGGACAGAACGTCGTCGGACAGAATGTCGCAGGACAAAATGTCGCTGAGACAAAAATGTCACTGAAAAAAATTTTTTGGACAAATGTAAACAAGACATTATCGCTTGACAAAATACACTATTAGGCTTGCGTAATTAAATATGCATGATAGTGCAGACAATCATGTTGGAATTGTGCATAGAAGTCAAGAAATGGACCCAAAAGTGACCCACTAGCATTTTAAAAGAACCTTTTCAACGAACATACAGCTAACATGATAACCATATATAAACAATAGGGCATTGAAACCATTTCAGAACGCCTTTACGTTCCCATGCCTCTTACTTTCGGTAAGTTATTTGGAACAGGAATTTGAATGTTTTCTTTGAGTGTTGATATACAACTTGACATTTCTTGGTGAGGGGGAGGGAAGCAACCCGAGGAAAAATATAATTTTCCTCTTTATCCGCCCCCTTACAAGTCCTCCTCACCCCTAATCCTCCTGTTTTAAAAATGTCTGATGAATGAGACTCCTACTCCCCTGCTGGGATGCCCCTTAGCTAAAAAGATAATTTGTTCCACCTGACCAAGTAGCTGTGGCCTACAAAGAATAGGTAGGCAGCGATGATTTTTGCAATTTTGATCCTCTTTTGGATTATTTCAAAGATAATTGTATTGGAAGAGCTCGGAGAGGACGAAGAGCTGCACCCCGATTTCCCATTCCATTATGGAACCAATACCACCATGTTCTCAATGACCTACCAAGAAGCAACAACACATTGGAGTGGTGGCACCAAGCATTGAATCACTCTGTTGGGATCACACATCCTTCAACTTGCTCAGAAGCTGCTGAAAGCAACATTTGCATGCAGTAAAAGAAATCGGCAGTATGAGAGGATTACCACCTCCAAAGAAAAGGAAGAAGTATCAACGAATAAATGAAGCTCTCAGCATAATGGTAGCTGACTTCACTAATCGGGATGTTGTACAATTCTTGTTTGATGTTAGACGCGTTGTCAACATTTAATGCCCTGTGATTGAACTTCATCTGTCATGTGATTTCCCCTTTTTGGACTTATTTGTGAATATCTACATGTGATCTCTTAATTTGAAAGAATATTATTAGCATGTACTTGGTACTCAGCTTCTTCCTGAAGGAAACCTCCTCCCTATGCCTATCCTAGTTCAACCTCCAGCCATATGGGTATAAAAAACCAGAACCACCTTTTTCTCAGTGGTGACATTTTTTCCTGGCAACATTTTGTCATGGTGACATTTGGTCTGCAACATTTTGTCTGCGACATTTTGTCCGGCGATAATTTGTCTGTTCACTGTGAAATATATGTAGATAGAAGATGTATCAAAGCCAGGAAAATTGGCACACTTGCGGAAGTAACTGGAAGGGCAATGCGTTTAAATTGCCCCCTTCCAAGCCAAACATAATATGATGGACATTCAATGACAGAAGGGCTAGCCCTTGATCAGCCACAGTCCAGCATCCACGCGAGCACCCCAACAGGAATCTCGAAACTATTGTGAAAGGCCAGGTGCTTGCGTGGATGCTGGACTGTGGCTGATCAAGGGCTAGCCCTTCTGTCAGTGAATGTCCATCATATTATATATATATATATATATATATATATACGAGGGGTGTTTGAAAAGTAATAGGAATTTTGACTTTTTTCCCAATCAACATATTTATTCAGCATTATTTACACTTAACTTTTCAATATAATCACCCTGGAGTGCAATACACTTTTTCCAACGAGAGACTAACTTCCTAAGGCCATCATTAAAGAATTCCTTTGGTGTGCTTTTAGTCCAACGTTCTACCGCATCCTTGACCTCTTGTAGAGAAGAAAAACGCTTGCCCCGAAGTGGTTTCTTCAGTTCCGGGAATAGGTGGTAATCACTTGGAGCCAAATCAGGAGAGTAGGGTGGGTGAGGCAGCAACTCCCATCGCAGATCGGCTATAGCATCAATAGTTCGTCTTGCAGTATGGGGCCTGGCATTGTCTTGCTGCAGTAATGGTCGTGCGTGGAGCTTTCCTGGGCGTTTTTTGATCAGTTGGGTGCGCAAGGGGCCCTTCAGCAAACCAGAATAGTATTCGGCGTTTATCGTTTGACCTCTCTGAAGATAGTCTATGAGGATAATGCCTTGACAATCCCAAAAAACGGTCATCATGACCTTGCCAACGGACGGATTTGATCGAGCCTTTATTGGAGGGCCTTCATCAGGGCGCCGCCACTCCATCGATTGGGATTTGGTCTCCGGATTAAAGTATGGCACCCAGGTCTCATCTACAGTAATAATCCGAAGCCAAAAGTTCTCACCGTACCTCTTCGCCAAGTCCACAAGCTGACCACATGTCACTGTACGGTTGAGCTTCTGGTCTGGCCCCAACAGCCGAGGTACCCATCGCGCTGAAACTTTGCTCATGCCCAAATGGTTGTGCAGAATCGAGTGAACAGAGTCGAAACTGATGCATAGGGCCCTGGCAATCTCTCGCACGGTCACTCGCCTGTCCTCCAT